GAATTTTGCAAGAAAAAGACAGAAATATTGAATGTAGAAATTAACTATATATAGATTAAGGCATCATGAATCACAATGACACAGAATTTGAACTTTGAATTTCATCCCTCCTTAAACATTTTAGCAAGTTGCTTTAAGTAATTCCTCCCCTGTAGCCAAGGAAGATACAGCCTAGTTTTGTAAAAGCAGTTTTCAGCTGTGAAAAGTATTGGAAGATGCTTTCCTTTCCTTAACACAATCAAAAAGATATCTCCCAAAAGATACTTCAGCGGTAAAATTTGAATAGAAAATTACCCACCCGTCCACCGACCGCTCAGGACATGTGGCTGCACTTGCAAATGCGGAATCTCCCACCCATTTGTTCATTGCACATGCTAGAAGCAGCTGCCAGGCCTGTGGAAAGCAAAGACTTAACGATTGCCCTGATTAAACAAGTTTAATTGCTTAGCCATTTGCCAGTCAGCCCTGTCTATTTGATTTGAGATCGGTGTTCATCTCATAAACTTTAATTCTTTTTATTCCATAACAAGTAGTAATTTTATTTATCCAAAACACCAAGCTGAGACAGCAGAAGAACTTGAAAAAAAAATACAGTCAAGAGTTCATCCCAACATCAATTACTTCACCTACCATTAGCTTGAAAGATTCGATTGTTTTTCCTAATGGAAGGTGAAGATTAATGACACATTTTGATAATAAGCGAATTGATCTTGTGCTTGGGCTGACAGACAGCACTCCTCTTTTGCACTAAACAACAGGCCACCACTTATACAATTGTTTGGCAGATACGAAAAAACCAAACATTGATAAAGAAAATTCAAGTATGGGAAAGGAAAAGAAAGAAATGCTGCATTTTTCTTCTTTTGGGGTAGGGTATTGGCCCGACTTGATTCACCAACTCCGAGATTCAAGTCAAATCTTAAAGTAGCTGTAACCAGGCTGTGTATGCGGGCTCCTGTTTCTGTTAAACAATTAAATTAATCAACAGAACTTTCTCAGATGGTGCACGAGAAATATCTAAGAAACATGGAGCTTTGATGATTGAAGTCTCCCCCTTTCTTCTCCCCTATGAAATTATTGAGGTACGGGAACAGGTTTACTTTCTGTAATTCCTTTTTGTTTTCCAATTGCAGCTTTGGGTTGGAATTTGCCACAGAGAGCATGCCCTCTTCTCCTAGCCTCTTAGGGTCCCAGCCAGACATCATTCACTTTTCCAATACATTCGTTCACTAAAATATTGCTATAGGATATGATCAACATTGCAAACTATTATCATGTTATAATTTGTTGGTGGTTCGGGAAATGTTTTTGCTGCTAGCAGCTTGTTCCTTTTTGTAGCAGGATTCTTGAGAATTTTTCTTTTTCATTTTTTGGTGTAGTATGAAAATGAAGACTTAGGGGTTAAGTTTTTGATAGGCAACAAGAATCACGGTAATTTCACATCAATCTGTGCAGTTAAAATTGAAGAGTTTGAATACTCTTGGGATGATTTTATTGAAAAACCATTAGGGGTTTATATACAAGTTTCATTGTCAATACAAAAGAAAAAATAATCTATGCAATAAAGGAGAATTCCCTAGATCAAGCCTATAATTAAGAAAAATTATAATTAGAATCATCAAATCAATTAGAATAACCAAGTCAACCAAATCATATCAATTGAAATGATAATCATGGCAAATTAGAATCAATAATTAAGATAGCCAATAATTAAGATAGCCTTCATTACTCCCCTTCAAGTTGGAGCATGCAGATTTGCAATGCCCAACTTGATCAATAAGTCATGGAACCGATTCTGTCCAAGAGCCTTGCTGAAAATATCTGTCAATTGAAACTGTGATGAAATTGACTATAGAACAAGAGTCTTAGACTGGATATGCTACCTAATAAAATGACAATCTATCTCGATATGTTTAGTATGCTCATGAAAGACCGGATTTGCTGCAATATGGATTGCTGCCTGATTATCACAAAACAGTGGAACCGGTGTTGGGTGTGAGACATGTAGATCTGCCAATAGCCTGAGAAGCCACACAATCTCACTTGCTGTGGTAGCCATGGCCCTATACTCTGCTTCTGCAGAGGAGCGAGAGACAACTGACTGTTTCTTGGACCGCCATGAAATAGGAGATGGTATAGACAAGTGAGAGGATGATGTGTCAGTAGTTAGCTTCGGTTGTTGTGTGGATGTTATGCATGCAGAGGCATCACATAGAGGGAGTTGTCTGTAGGAGGTTGGGGTTGAAATGACTTGTCTTGGAGACCCTTTCAAGTATCTAAGAACACGCAAAGTTGCATTTAAATGAGGTTGACGCGGATAGTGCATAAATTGACTTAACATGTGAACAACAAAACTGATATCGGGTCGTGTAATTGTGAGATATGACTATCGGCCAATCATTCTTCTATACTGCCTTGGATCCGAACAAAGAGGGCCTGTATCAGGATCTAGCTTGATTTGTTGGTCCATGGGTGTTGATGCAGGTTTGCAACCAGTGAGTCCGCTATCTGCCAATATATCAAGCACATACTTTCGTTGGCTTAAGACAATACCAGACGGAGATCGTGCTACCTCAATTCCCAAAAAATATTTCAGCTTTTCCAAATCTTTTATACAAAACTCACGATCCAAGTGAGCTTTGAGTTGAGTAATCTTCAGTGAGTCGGTCCCTGTTACTATCACATCATCAACATAGATTAATACCGCAACTTCCAAAAGATGGCGATGTTTGCATTCCACCACACCATTCTGTTGAGGTGTGTTTGTGCAACTGGTTTGGGTCCTTTTCCATACCATTTTGAAAGTAATGGTCCACCAAATCCTCATGCTTAAATTCCATCCCATTGTCTGTTCGCAACATCTTTACTTGTGTGTTGAACTGTGTCTTGACCCACTGAAAAAAATAAAGTAAGAGATTTCTAGTTTCTGATTTATATTTCATGAGAAAAACCCATGTTGCCTTGTTGTAGTCATCAACAATAGTAAGAAAATAGTGTGATCTTGAAAAAGATACGGTGTGATAAGGTCCCCAAATGTCACAGTGAATTAAATCAAAAGCATGCTGACTTTTATTCTTATGATTCGGAAAAGGTAATCTGGTTTGTCTTGCCCTACAACATGCATCACAAAGAAAATTATCCTTTCTAATGCAATTAATAGATAAATTCGGAACCACTGAAAGACGATCCAAAGGAATGTGCCCTAATCGATGATGCCATAGAATCACAGTATCTTTGCCAGTATCCTTAGTTTTAGCCAAAAATGCCTTGCCCGCCCTCATTGGCTCCAAATGATACAATTTGTTTCGCACTCTACCCACTCCAATAGGCTTCCTCGAGTGTAAGTCCTGTATTACACAAAATTTAGATCCAAAAATGAGAAGGCAGTTTAAGTCACGAGTTATTTTGCTCACAGATAGTAAATTAAAACAAAATTCGGGTACACCCAGAACCCGTTCCAAAGTTAAGTTATGCCCAAGATTCACTCGACCCAAAGCATGAACTGGCACAGTGTCACCATTCGGAATTTGAACAGGTGGAATATCAGGATTTTCAACCATGTTAGATAAATTGTTGATTTGATGGGCAATATGATCTGTGGCCCCAGTATCAATTACCCACGAATTGTCTTTCTTACCAGAAAAGTTCACATTGGAGGCCATGTTGACTACTGGCCCATTGCTATTGTCGGATTGTCGGTCCAAAAGATCTATCAGTTGCTGAATATGAGCTTGTGTTAGGCCAGGAACAAGTGAGGAACACTCCTGAGGCGTGCCTGTCTCTGTCCCAGCCAAGAAAGCACGAGCTTTCGTGCCTGTCAACGTTGCCGAAGTTCTTGGCCCCCTATCACTGCGTACACGTGCTTGGTCTCCTCTAACTTTCAATTTCCTTTGCCAATCCGTTGGGTAACCAACAATCTCATAACAATCATCACGGGTGTGACCAATCTTGTCACAGTGCGAGCAACGAGGACGAGAACCTTCACCACTACGTCGATCTCGCTGTTTATTGCGTCGATCAACTCGTTGATCCCCAACCTTCAGTCCGCTGCCACGTCTTGCACTATCGGTGGCTTGATTTCTAACATTAGGGCTATTCTTTCGGGCACCATGGCTCATGACGCAACCACTGCTAACTGTTTTTCTTCTTGTGCTGCGTTTGCATAGACTCGTCCAATGGTGGGCAAGGGTTCCATGTTAAGAACTTGTGACCTAATGGTTCTATAATTATCATCCAACCCCATTAGGAAATCGAATACTTTCTCTTCCTCGCGCATCTCCTGCATCTGCCTTGTCACACCACAAGTGCACTTTCCACAGAAACAAACAGGTAAAGGTCGAAAGGTTTGAACTTCATTCCATAGTGCTTTCAATTTTCCTTAGTAGGAAGAAACTAGAACTTTCTCTTGCTATAAGAATGCAATGGCCCGCTTGAGTTCATAAACTCTAGGAGCAATGCCTTGTGTGAACCGTTCTTTAAGGTCTGCCCATAACTCACTTGCATTTTCTGCATGTACTGCTCCACCCTGTAACTCTTTGCAAAGAGCATGGATTAGCCAGGATAATACTATTGCATTACACTATACCCAATCTTGAAACTCTGGTGAATTGACTTCCGGTTTTGAAATCGTTCCATCCACGAATCCTGCTTTATTTTTAGATTGAAGGGCGTTGAGAAAACTGTGCCTCCAAGTGGAATAGTTGTCTCCTGTTTCACTTAAAGGATGGGTGACAAATATTAGGCCAGGATGATAAGAGGAATGTGGATAATAGGGTGATTTGGTATTGACCAAGGTGCTATTCGACATACTCACACCTATGGTTGGTACCAAACTCACGTTTGCCTTATCTACTCCTCCTTCACCTTTATCAGCCATAAAAAAAAATTTAACTTAGGTTGTCTGCAACCCACTCTAATACTATGAAGAGTTTGAATACTCTTTGGATGATTTTATTGAGAAAGCACTAGGGGTTTATATACAAGTTTCATTATCCATACAAAAGGAAAAATAATCTATGCAATAAAGGAGAATTCCCTAGATCAAGCCTATAATTAAAAAAAATTACAATTAGAATTATCAAATTAATTAGAATAACTAAGTCAACCAAATTATATCAATTGAAATGATAATTATGGTAAATTAGAATCAATAATTAAGATAACCAATAATTAAGATAAGTTTCATTAGAAACGAAAACATTATGGGAATCTGGTACTCTTTTCACTGTCAGGTATTAGATTTCCCAAAGCCACAGTACCAGCTCGATAGCTTTTTGGTTTACCAACTTGCCGCGTGTGTCGAACGACCAACACAACTGGATTAAGCAAAACCATTCACCCTATTAATAATAATTGGATAACAACTGGGCCAGCTCTCTTGACCGCTATGGTACAGGGAAAGTACTAGGACTAATTATCAAAGGCTGAAGCCAAGGTTGTCTGTGGTTTTTGTCACGACAACACCCCCCACAAAACCACTATCAATAAAGCTAGCTGAAGACTAAAGTTTCTAGATATTATAAGTATAATTCGGTGAGCACAAGCAAATGTTTTGTTAAGAAACGTAATTTGGTGATGATTAAAATGAAGCAAAAAGACTTTTAAGAAAGAAATCAGAGATATCAAGAAAATTAGATACTGAACATTAGAGAAGATAATCACTTTCACCCACAAACTTGTCTTACAAAACATTACTTAAACGTTGCAACCAAAGTTAAGGAAAATCAACAGAGAAAACAGAAAATTTGTACCATGATGGGCACATTTTAAGTCTGGTACCTAGTATGGGATAACCACCCATTACATGAAACGTGATTAAGCACCACAATCAACTTCTAATATTAATAATAAAGTAACTACTTAACAGTTAGCAAAGCTCAGCTGTTGACGCTGCGAACAGCTTCAATGCTGAGGCAGGAACCACTCTCAACATGTTTTTGTACTGATCTGCTTTTTGGCCAAAATCGTACCAAGCAAAGGAAAATGGTGGCGGGCATAAAGCCCATAATTGAGCAGCAGTGTGTGGTTGTGGTAAGTGTCACGACTAATTCTTGCATGCAGACCACATTAATAAACAAGAGAAGTTTGAAACTTGTAACATTTTCTTTCCTCTAATATTTATTTTTTTAAACAAGGAGAGAGCTTCTCAGTTCTTACACGGTATCAGTAGGAACAACAAGAAGGGCTCCTTGTTTTAACAGTTCAATCACAGGTTCAAGCTTCCAACTCTGTTCCTGACGGATTAACTTCCACGCAAACTAGCTCATCCTCCTGTCAATTTCTTTTTTTTTCACTTAAATTTTCAGATATTACTAGTATTATGATTCAATTGAGAAGAAATTCAAATTAGACCTTGGCGAAGCGAGGAGCGGAGTGTTTGAGACGTTTCGGACTCCTTTGAACAGCCATAGCTAAGCCGCGAGCTTAACCGAGTCGAAATGGACACTACTGGGATACAGCACCACAAGCCGTGGCGCGGTTGCGAAGGAGGCGACTTACATTATTCAATTTTAAATAATATAGTCTAAATGAGAGATTGTTAGATTTTCTCAATAATAAAGTACGGACTTACATTATTTTTATTTACCTTTTATAAAAACAAGCTAAGTTTATTTTGTCTTGATAAAGTGACAATTTGACAGCTCCTAATATGATATGATAAAGTGAGCTACGTATTAATGTTAAATATGAAGTCTCTATGAAAATGAGAGGAATAGGAATGAGCAGTTGGAAAAAGGGAGATGACGACCGAGGCTATGGGAATCGTCTTGATGGGTTGGAACGGTGGAGAAGAAGTCTGTTTACAGTTTTCGTGGATAATATCAGCAAGCGATTAACATGGCGAGAGATTTAAGGCATGCTTCGAAGAGTTTGGGGTTGTGGTCGATGTATTTATCCCAACAGGGAAGAGGGAAAGGAATAGTCAATTTGCTTTTGTAAGGTTTAGACATGAAGATGAAATGAGAAGAGCCATTAAATATGGAGCGGGGATTAGTGTTGATGGGAGGAGACTACTGGTGAAAAAAGCTGAGCATTCTCGGGAAAGAGTTGTTAACAACCAAGAGCGGTTCTATGAAAACAGACAAAGAATCGAGCCAATTAAGTCATACACAGAGGTAGTTATGGGGAGAAACAAGGAGATGATTGCTAACAAGAAGTCTGATACAGAAAAGGCAGTTAATCCCGATGATGGGCGAGAGTCTGAAGGAAAAATAATATCAGAATCATCACCCTTGAAGGTAATTTGTAATGGCTCAACAGGAGTGCAATAGGGAAGCTTAATAAGGTTCAAGCATGCAAGCCAATCCAGAGTGCTATGTTCCTGGAAGGAGTTACAGTGACAGTAAGACCGGCAGGAGGACTTAACGTGTTGGTGACAGGGATGAAATGTTAACTTTGTTAGAGTCCTACAGTGAGATTTTCGATTTATGGTTCGAAAGCATCACGCCATACAATGCTGAGGTTGAGACCAGGAGGTACACGGTATGGGTTAAAGTGGAGGAAATTCCAATGCATTTATGATGCTGGAACTTGTTTGAAGCATTAGGAATAGTTGGGGCAAGTTCAGCAAAGTCGACTATGCCACTGCAAAGTTGGAACGGTTTGATCATGCGCTCATATGTGTTGAGGTGGAAAGTAAGTCAAAAATTCCAGCTCTCCCAAGGATTCAGGTGAAAGGGCAAAGCTGAGATTGAGAGATAGATTTTAGGAATGAAAAAGAGCAAAGAAGTGGTGTAGGACTCTCCTAGCCCATTGGTGATGCAGTCATGGTGGGAGGAGGATGACGAAGGCACCAATCTACAGATGATGATGGAGATCAATCCAACGGATAAGAATGACTAGGAGAATCTTGTGTTGGGCATG